GTTGGAAAACCAAATGCCTTTCTTATGCTTTCAAAGATTCCCTTCTCAAAAAAAGAAAAATCTCATAGTGGTTAATAAAATTATCCTAGATTTACACTGATGTGTGACTGAAATTAAAATCATAGCCCTCACAGGTTTTTGTTTTTTTTTAGGGAAAAAGCACTTTTGATAATGAAACTCTGGAGAATTTACTGAGAAAATGGTAGCTATAAGTCTCCTTTGCCATGGAAAAAACACTATAATGCCTACCAAGATTACCAAGGTAAGAGTCTCACCCTATCTAATTGCAAGTAATCTGGCAGCAAAGCCTGATGAGCTAGCAAATCTCCATAAAGGAATGCTGACAAACCATATAGTAACAAACAGCTGGTAGTCAAAGAATAAGAAGGGGATAATGTAAATAATAAAGCAGGCACTTAGAAATCAGTAGAGGTGATCCTTCTGTTTTCTGCCTTTAGCCAAGTGTTCTAGAGTTTGAACATAGACTGTCAAAGATTTTGGTTTGGAAGAATGTGTTTGTGGGAGAAACTTTTTTTCTTGTCAATACCAGGCCAATAGAAAGGTAAAGAAAGGAAGCACATTCATACTCGGGAAGTAAAGACATGGGATGGTAAATAGAAGTACTGTATCACACACTAAATGTTCCTATTCTAGTTGTGGCCACGACCGTGATATTCCAGCAACAGTTTTCTATTTCCTCTGAAGAATACAGTTCTGCAATGGTTCAGTGACTCAAGTAGGTGAATACAGAAAGAAAAAGTAACTTCATATGCAATTATTAATAATTCTCATAACCTTGAATGAGCAACTGAAACCCCATGAGAGAATAACCTCACTAAAAAGTGAGTATAGAGGAGTATAAACAACGCACTATCTTTCTTCATGTCTAAACACTGTAAATCATGAAAACTGAATATGGAGAAGGGTCATTCCAAACTAGAAAGGTGCTTGTATAGTCAACTCCCAGCTGACTACAGAGCTTGAAAGCAAGTCAGGAAGAAGTCAATCTTTTACTGAAATTGTAAGTATGGCAGCTGTAAAGAAGGAACAGAAATGGCTGGTTGAGCATAGTAAGGATGTATTACTATAAACAATCCCTCATAGAAGGGGGAACTTCTTGAATGCAGGGAGTAAATATACAACCCTAATAATCATCATAAGCTCTCTTCTGTAAGCCCTCCACCTGTTGGGAATTTTGATACTTAAAAGTAGGATCTTGGAAAATACCAACAGTGTCTGTAAATACATATTGCGAGGAGTTTGTCAAAGAGTGCAATTATTAGCTCATTGGCCATTTACCTACTTTGAAGATAACAGTGAAAATTGGGATATACAAATAGCCATGTAGCTGAAACTGTCAACTATTTTTTGGTATGTTCACATTAATATTGACATGAAATTCTCTAATAGTTTGTAGCTTTCAAGCGGTTACTTTAACTGTATCACCTGAGGTTTGTAAGTCTGTTTTTTTATAACAGAACTGTTTTAAAGCTAACCTTTCAGTCAGTATCTTTTGGGCTTTAATAGTAGCACAGCTCTAATAGTTGGGAGATTAAAAGAATTCCACTTGGCAAAATGCTGCTGTCCAGCGCTGAGCATCCTGCTTGTTTAAAGGGAGTAACAAAAATTAACTGATGAAATGGCCTGATAAGAGTTGAATTAACACTGCATGCTTTATTTCCTTGTTATTTCTCTGTGGATAGAAAACAGCAGGGAAAAGCATGCTGGCTTTCATTTGTTACAGCTTTCTAGAAATCCCTGTGACTCTGAAAAAGGAGAATTCACTTGCATGTGAATAAAGCTTATTGACTTAAGAAGCAGAATCACAATCAGGGTTGTTTTTTTTTTTACTTAGAACTTCAATGCTATGCTCAGTGGTGGGTTCAGGCATCTTGACTATGAAAGTGAGTCAAGGCAAGCGAAAATACAGTCCTTTTACTCTGAAGTGCCTGAATTCCCCGACACCAAGGTCACTCTGCATGCAGTAATTGAACATATGCACAATTGGGCTAAAATTGTGCCTGAAACCACGTACCTGACACTTTTTAAATCTTGAGCATTGATTTTTATGTTTTCTCTTTTCCATAAAGGACATTCTTGTAGAAAATACAAACTAAAAGCATATGCAACTGTCAAGTGATTGTGATGAAAAGCCAGCAAGGTTGCTGAATCTGGCCTTTCAATAGTTATTATTGCCAGGATGCTTTTAGACAGCACTTTAGCAGCAGTTGAAATTATTCCAATATAGTGCTTTATTGTAGCCCATACTTATAAAATGAAGTCATAGCTTTTACAGACTGTCGCACTAGATTTAAAAAACTCTTGTCTCTTTTGGAGAAAAGATTCTCTAAGATAGGAGGATAATTTTTTAATTAAAACTACCCACACTTCTTAAATGAAGTGAGCCTGAATTTCTTTACAGAGGCTTGCTCTATTTGTGGATGTCAGTTAAACCGCATCTCAATTTGTTGCATGTGTATCTCACACTGTTGCACCACAAAAACCCAAGAGCTTTGTGCTGCATAAGTTGAACTGTTCCCTTTTTTCTCACCCATTGTGAATTACAAACCTCCTTCCCTCTTCTGGGAGAGAAGGGAGTTGGGTATATTGAAAATAAATAATCCATCATTGTAAATAATGTTTTTGGGGGTTTTAATACCCACTCTGATGTCTCCAGAAAGCCATGGTGACCTTGTTGGTGGCAGACAAAGAATATTCCACAGTCAACATGTCTAGATCATTCAATCCTAAAAGCAGGGCATGTAGCATAACTAGTTCCCTAAAAGAAGATGGAAATGTGGACAGTAAGTAGTTTTTACAGCTAGATGAACTTGGATAATTCTTACGTAGATGAGACAGGAAAAACAAGATCCAAGTGGAAAGGAAATTCTGATATTTCAGGTCAGGCAGAAGCTTGATGAAGAAGCAGGCTCACCAAGCCTCTTCTGTGCCTGATCTGCTGTGGGCCATAAACACAGGGGAGTGATACTGCACTTTAGTTCCATGAGCTAATCAACCTTCCTGGGGGAAAGAGCTCACAGGGTATGTCCCACAGTGGGAAGTGGACAGCATGTATATACTCAATTAGCCAGCATATTATGCACCAGGGTCAGAGCTGGAGCAGCTGCTTTGTTCAGCAATGCTCTGATCCCTCGGGTAAACAGCTAATTGCAGGAAATCTTTTAAGGCAAGTGTGTGATAGAAGGAATGCAATCAATATTGTTTATTCAAAAAAACAGGAGTGGTTCCTCTGAATCAGTTCTCTTGTGTAATTATGTAATTGGGGCATGTTCTATTTTTAATTAAATGTCTTGCAAATTCATGAAAATACTCTGAACCTGTGGACCAACTGGCATGACTAACTTTTAAAATGTAGCTTGTATAAAGGAATGTGCTTCAACCTTTTTTCCCCCTTTCATATTACTGTGCAAAAATGTTTCACATTATTATACATAGACTGTATTGACTATCAACACTAAAATATTATCTTAAACTATTAATACAAAATTGCCAGAGAAACGTTGTAAATGGAGATGAAGAACACAAGAAGCTGTAGCTCTGATAGTATGACAATTATTTTTTGTTGGGCAGCTTGACCTGTGTAAGAGATCAGTGAGTGGTATTCAGCAAGTGTATTTCATTTCCCTCAGCTCTTCAAATCCAACAGTGACTCTGTATTTGCAGTCTGCAGACAATTCATGTTCCCCTGACTTTGTTTCTTGTGGGCTTCTGTGAATCTTCCTGTTCTTCTGCCTCTTTGACAACAGCATCAGCTTTGATTCCTCCTCCAACTTCCTGCTTCTCCTTAGGAGTCTTGCTTTCTTCCCTGACTCTTGTTCTCCCATCTGCATTTTGTAGACTTGCTCCGTGTTGTATGTGAGGACAAACAGATATAAGCTCTGCTTTCCTTGCGTACTTTAGATACTGCCATTTAGGTGAGGCTGGACGTTCTGATTTACCATAATACCTCCATGTCTCTATTAACTTATGACTGTTATTAATAACTCTTTCATAGTTATGTTGTCACTATTCCATAATGATTTCTAATGCACATTTTATGCTTTGCTATACTTGTTTTTTGTCACAGACATCAACCCCTTCCATCTTTAATTCCTGCACTTAACTTCCATCTGGCAGAACATAAAGCAACATGAAGAAAATACTGTGGTTGTTCCTTTTTCTCTAGGGACCGTGGGAATGAAATTGGAGGCTGTAAAGAAATAGCTCTTGTGACAAGTGTCTTCTTACGTGTACACCTGTGGAAGACTAGGGATCTTCCAGTTGATTCAGTGTGGAACAAACACAATGGCTTTAAAATACATTAGCAGCACATAATTAGCCCTCAGGGGCTTTCACTACAGAATTAGCACTTCAGCCTGTTTCCCTGCCTGAGCTGGCTGCACGCAGTGGAGTGCATTTCATGTCCATCGTCCCAGCGGTGTCCCACCGAGACAGGCACGTCAGCTTTACAAGTCCCGCTTGCTGTCACTTCGCTTTACAGACGCAAACCGCTCAACTGCTTTCCGCGACACTGAGATCACACGACACGAAAAGCACCTGCGACGGGTCCCCGCGCCGGAGCAAGACACCTCAGTGGCAGCAGAGGGTGCGCTGAGGCAACGCCGCGTTCGCTCGCCACTCACACCCCCGTCAGGCAGACAAGGCCTCAGCACGGTTGAGCACGTCCGCCACCCGTGGGGCCTCGCACCTGAACCCATGAAGGCCCTCTCCAGCATCCCCCTTCCCGGGGACAACCCCGCGCTGAGGGGAGACAGCGAGTGAGGGAGAGGAAGGGGCAGCCGTCCCGGACGGGGTGCTGCGCTGCCCCTACCCGCGCGGCCCGCTCCCGCCCGGCAGGGTGACGTCGCCCGCTCCTTGGACCGCGCTGCGCGCCGGCCACCGCGGCCGCCGCGCTGGGCCAGGACACACCTGTCAGCACCCCGGGGCAGGCACTGAGGGCGCCGCGGTGCTGACCCGCTTCCTTCCTTCCATCTCCTCGGTCCTTTCCCCCCCCCGCCAAACCCCTTTTCCTTCCTCTCTTCTGCCCGCCCATCGCTGACATCCTCCTCCCGTCGTCGTTGTCGGCGTGCACCCCCTTCCCCCCCCCGCCGCCCGGGCTGCGCGGCCCTCGCCGCCTCTGCGAGCGCTGCGCACATCGCCCGAGCCTGCAGCACCGAGCGGTGAGTGAGGGGAGCTGCCCGCGCCCGGGGAGGCACTGGCGGCGTTTGGCGGGGGGTGCGGGGGAGACGTGGGGGGGAGGATGTTAAATCTTTTTGCCTTTTTATCTGCTGTTACGCACACAACAAAAGGCTGCGCGGGCCGGTGGGTCCCCGCAGCGCTGCTGACAGCTCTTTCTGTGCGCGGACACGGGAGGGTGCTTGGGCGGTGGGGGCGAGGCTGTTTTTCGGTGCTCTGTGCGAAGCTCTGTCAGTTGCAGCCGCCGCTCGGCTGCGGAAAGGAGGAACCTTCCCGCGGGGATGGGGATCGCCCCGGCTTTGTCCCCAGCTCCTCTCCTGGCTCCCGGCGGTGCTGCGGCTGGGGCCGGGCGCCGCCCTGGGAGGGACCCGGGGCAAAAGAGGGGGGCGCCGGCCTCGACCCCTCCCCCCCCCCCCCCCGGGCCAGCCCCTTAGGATGGGGCGTGCGGAGCTCGGTCTTTATTGCGCCGGTTTAGTTTAGGTGATTTGTTCTGTTGCGAAGTCAGAAACGGTGAAAGAGGAGGCGAGGACAGCTCTTTCTTGGGTTTTGCAGCTCGGGACCGGATTTATATGTTGTAGGTCACCTGCTATGCTGTAGTCGGAGTCGATTTGTAGCCTTGGGTCTTGGCAAGATTTCTACATTTATAAAATAAGCATTGATTAGGAACAGGTTATTCTAGCAAAAAAACGGAACTGACTTAACTGGTAACTGTATCTCTAGGGCAGTGATTAATTAGACACTTTAAAATCTTACTCAGTCTATCTTCATGTTTCTTATATTTTTGGGTAAGAAGATGCCAAGTTTGTAGATCTGCATAGCACTTGTCCCTAATCGCAAGAAGGAACTTCTTGACTCCTTATTGAATTCTGTGTTCTAAGTATATCAAAGCGTATTTTAATAACCAAAGTGGCATCACCTAGTGTAATGCCATAGTCTGGCTTTTTAAAGGCTACTAAATCAATGATGGTGCTCTTACTCTGTTTTTATTTCCTCTTGTTAATGATTTCCATTAGTGTATATGATTTAAATGTAGTAGCAGTACTCTGGTATTGCTCATTGAATCAGAATACAGAATTGACACATAAAAGCAGCTAGAAAAAAAATGAGTTTGTTTTTGTAGTTTGCTATAGCAAAATGGTGAGGAAATGTCATTCATGATATAAAATGCCCTCACAGTTGTACATAAAAATACATAAAATGAAAGCGTAATCTTAGCGTTCTTGCAATTGGCAGGAGGTTTGGTAACAATTACTCTGAGAAGTAATTGCCTCTTTCACTTCCACTTTTGTATTTGCGCATCAGTTAAATAGGAAACTTATGCCCAAAGGGTATGCATTGGAAGCTAAAAAGGAACCTTCGAGATTTAGGCAGTTTAGCATTTTAATTAAAAAAAAAAAAAATCGCAGCAAACCAACAGGACAAACAACTAAACAAACCCCAAGAAAATTAAACCCCGTCTTTCTTAATGCACAGTTTTCAGACTTTGTTGGGAAATAGCTTCATTTTAATTGATTATGAATTCCAAAGCTTCAGTGAAACACGATGGAGGATATTATAACCCTGGGATTATAGATACGATTGAAAGTAACACATTCAGCATTTACTGGCAGCAGAAAGAAAGCTGATCCAGGTGATTCTGAGCAGAAGGCCTTGTATTTTGAAGTCACACAATTATTTTTGTTAACACATGGTTTAAGAGTACCTTTCTGTGAAATTACAAAAGGTACCGAGAATTCTGGCAGTTGCATTTAGATATGCGTTTTATGTAATGCAGAACCGTGTGGGTAAATGCATACAATTTAAATTGTTACTTCCTGGAACTCGCACAACAATGCAGAATCACTTCTGCATCATGTTGCAGTTGAAGTTTGGCAACCTTTGTGTTTCTGCAAGACCACAATGGAACTGAACAGACCACGACAGAACTGGACAATTCCACTAATCAGAAATTCTAACAGCAATTTGAGCTTAGATTCCCTTCACTTCCTAATCAAAGAAAATATGCTGTCATATGTAATCAAGAGAATAAAGTTACTCTCGGAACATTCCATGAAACAGCCTCATCTATGTTTGTCAAATTGCCATAGTGTGCTAACAGTGCGTTATTAATGGAAACTGGTTTTTAAAAAGATCTGGTTTTGACAAATGAGGAATTGCTTGCAAAATCATTGATTAAATTTGCAGGAGTCTAGAATACCATCTTCTGAATGTTTTTGAGTGGACATACAATACTGTGGACATGCAGTAATACTGTACAGACGCTTAAGCTTGTAAGAGCGATTGATGCTTCCTCTGTTTTTGAAGAACTTGCCATGTCAGAAAACCTTCACTTGTGTGCTACTGTGTATTACAGCATACTCTGTTTACCTGTATAGGTGTCTCTGTGTATACATGCATGACCACATATTAGTTAGGAGTTTGGGGAAATACTGTAGCCTCATATTCAGTTCTGAGTCCATTTAACGCAGATTTTGTTTCTCTTGAGAGCTAGGCTTGTGCAGTTACTCTTTCATCTCTTCCTCTGTTTGGCTTCTCTGGCAGACGTGCAGTTGGATTTATTCTGGGATTAATAGCATCTGTTCAGATGCATACTCACAATTATTTTAAAATTTCAGTGTACAAATATTTGTTGTAATGTTTTTGTAAGAGGAGTGGAAAATAAGGAAACTTGAGTAAATTAATAAATATGCAAATTATACTTCTGTATTTAATGTTGAAGGACATCGCAGCATATAGTGATGGGCACAAGCATGCTGGGTCTGTTTAAATGAACATGTCTTGTAGTCTGTCTGCCTCCAGGGTGTTCAGTATGACACAAGTATTGTAAACATGAACCAATTCCATAATCGTGGCAATGAAGTTGCTAGCCACAGACTTTGCTCTTAATTCAGTCTGCATAATACTCTGAGTTTCCAAAGTATTTTTTAGTTGTTTTGTAAGAACATCATGCTTACCTTGACCAAAGTTTAGGAAAACGTTTCTTTTCAATGTCAACTCTCATTTTCCTTAAAACAAAAGCATGACACACATGATGTCTGATACTTCATGGTAACCAAATACCAGTCAAATTGTTCATTCTGAAAAGAAACCTTTTTGACTTCAAAATAGAGCTGATCATAGTAGTTGTATCCTGAGTCACAGTTGTTTTTGGGTGGTTTTGAGGTATTAAGTCTTTCCCAGTAAATTCTTTAGTGAAACGTTTTTTTATGAAAGCAGGCTGTAGAAGTAAGTGTGGTTCCCTTGAAGAATTACTTAATAAATGCCTGACCAGAAAAAGGTGCACTTATGCTGTCTTAGGTTTGCTGAGATGCTTTTGTTGCCTTCATGTTATGGTATTTAAGTTGGGCACGTTGTTAGAGGGTCAGAGCCAAAATTATGGCTTTCAGTGATGGAGGAATTATTTCTGTAGGGTTTTGTGTGAGGTGCTTTGCAAGCATCAGGCATATGATGACACTATAGTTGCTGGTGGTTTTTTTTGCTAGACAATAAATTTCAATAATGTCTGGCCACAGTGATTAGGCAAGCATGCGGACTGAGGACGTATGTTTCCCTTACCCATGATATATTTGGAAATGTGAACAAAGGAGTTGTTCTCAGAGGATGAACACTAAAGCACAGTTAACACTAGAACTGCTAATTTCTCATAATATATAAAGAAAATTAGTATCTGATAGCTGACAGTTTCTTCAGATTCAGTCTGCTAAGGAAGCAGATGCAAGTAATAGTATCTGTGTGTTGATTTAATCACTGCTTGTTTCTTTGAATCCAGCTTATCTCTTGTGGACTCCGCTATTTAATTCTTGTTTCAACCAGAAACGGTTTTAATTCTGGAAGCTGTGTTTTGACATATACTTAGAATTAAATTGAATTTATTTTGTGAAATAATTACTGTTGGTCATCTTTGCTCAAAATTAGGAAGCAGGGAATCATGTCATCTTATATTCCAAATAATGCTTTCCCTCCATTGTCTGCTTAAATGTATAGATTATTCATATAGTTTTTCAATATCAAGTCTTGCTAACAGGTAAAAGCAGTAAAATACCTTTTGCAGGTAGGCTTAAAAGAGAGCAGTTTCCTATTTTGGTCCTTTTGTAAATATCTGCCATAAATCCCATTCATCATAATAAGATTGTGTTTCTTGGATTGTGTCAGAACTATGGTTGATTTTATTAAATTTTGAAGTGAAGAAAGCAAAGGATGGAAGCAGTATAGTGGTAGTACTGACTTCCTTACGTGTCAGTAGGATTGGCATAGTGGCTAATTATACTCTGCTTACTATATGATGTACTGCAGCAAACTATTAAAAAAGGCAGTGTTGCACTAAAGTAATGTTCAGAAGAAGGTCAAGAAATATCTGACATAAAGCTGAACTTCTTGGTACTGCTTTAAAAGTCGTATCTAAAAATCAGGCCTTTTAAAGGACAATACTTAGATTTTTTTTTTTAATTATCAGATAACTGTATATCTTAATTCCTAGTAATTTGCATTGTCTACAAACACTGATGTTTTCATAAATTCATAAATGTTTTCTTAAATCCTGTGCTACTGTGCAGCTTATTACTACTGGTATTTTATAGTGTTCTAATTTTGTGCTTTGTCTGGCGACAGCACAAGTAGTTAAATGTTAATAGAAAATTAAGATTACTAGCACTGTGCTATTATTTGTGTATGCGTGCTGTTCATTACTCATGTACGGGGTGGTGGTTTTAAACTTTTTAAGGGATTGCAATAGCTGCATTCCTGTGATGTATCTTGAGTTTGCTCTTTCCAGCTGACAGTAGCTGAGGCAAAGTATGTAAGGTTATGGACTAGCAGGAGGGAGGCACGTTCTGTGTTGGATGTGGGTCTGCTTTCTTCCCCCCCCCCCCCCTTTTTTTTTTTTTCCTCTTCTTACCTGAATAGAATATTGTTTTTAAGACTGAGTGTATCTGTGGATGTTCCTTTATCAAACAATGTGAGCATGAGTAGTGTAGAGAAGTCACAA